AAGGGTAGTTTTCACTATAAGTGAAAAAGAATTTTTGGACGGACACTATAATTTACAGTTTTTTACTATGTAAAATCTGAGTTTTCTTTAAAATAAAAAACATCTATATTGATTCTGACTTTTCTACATCCAACTCACAGGTTTATCATTACTTTGAGAAAAAAGATTATTAATGTAACCCTTTTAGAAGGGAAGATATGGTCATTTGTTCTGGGAATGTCATTTTCGAGCCTGAGACCTGAAAAACAGGCTCAGGGCTTAACAGGTTAACATTTTCTTTATTTTTATTCATGCATATTTTACTAATCACTCCCCCCTCAAATGGAAATATGTGTTTACATAAATGGTGACCAAACCGTTAGAGACCCACTGAGATAACTGACTAAGTTAACTATCTAAACACTCAGAGAGTCCTTAACAGGGTTCATACACTTTTTCACCAATGATTTTCATGACCTTTACCTAATTTTCCATGACCAAAAAAATTACTCTCTCAGCGGTACCACTGAAAATTGTTTATTTTAACATGGAACAGGAAAATAAGGTCTGCATATGAAACATGTTGTGCCTATCTAAACCAAATCAAATAGGCTTACTAGCTTCTACACGCTAAAGCAACTCAAATCTCTCACCAGCAAAATACCTCGTCAGTTAAATGCCATTTTACGTTTCATTACTATACGATACAGTATTTATTCTCATTATAGTATTACTATTTCGGCGATTTGATAAAATATAAATTATATTTGATGCAACTTTAGTTACATTTCCATGACCTTTCCAAAACTTTGTGAAAAATATTGTTTTCCATAACTTTTCCAGGGCCTAGAATTAGCATTTTGAATTTCCATGACTTTTCCAGATTTTTAATGACCGTAAGAATCCTGCCTTAACCTCACCTGAGCTGTAGTTATCAGAGGCTCACAGTCTGACAGTAGAGAGCTCTCCCTCCACCTTGTTGTTGAAACATATCCCTAAATCCATTAGCGTAGCTAACTAGCACCAGATGCTAACAACAACAATAAAAGTAACCGGTGCGCGCGCGCTCTCGCGCCACGGGAAACCTCCCGGTCCTCCCGATGGCCAGTCCGGGCCTGCACACACACACACACACACACACACACACACACACACACACACACACACACACACACACACACACACACACACACACACACACACACACACACACACACACACACACACACACACACACACACACACACACACACACACAAACAAACAAACAAACAAACAAACAAACAAACAAACAAACAAACAAACAAACAAACAAACAAACAAACAAACAAACAAACAAACAAACAAACAAACAAACAAACAAACAAACAAACAAACAAACAAACAAACACACTCAGCAGCAGCCCTCTACTTGCTACAAACTTAAATATGAACTTGGTTCAACTATGCACACACACACATCATCTCGGCTCGCGCAGCACGCTCACAGGCATAGATTGCGCAATAATGTATTGCGCACCTTGGAGGTGCAGTGCAGGCATATTGTCATTCAAGAGATGCGTAGTTCTTTTGGAAAACATGTTTTTCTTTTAGCCTATTTACCTCATTAACGTAAATAATACTCGTTAGATGGACACATGAATTATTTGTGATTAAAATAATGGTTGTTGGTAATGTATTAGCGACCCCCACAGATGTATGATTTCACTGCGTCCGTGGGAGCTCAGACCCTCCTTGTGGGAGCTCAGCTCCCATTGGCTCCCACATAACTCGAACCCTGCATGTGATGTTAGTATAGAACAGGGGTAGCCAACACGGTGCCCGCGGGCGCTTAGTCGCCCGCAGGGGCAACGTGAGTCGCCCGCCGGGCATATTCTAAAAATAGCTCGCCAAGCGAATCCAAAATGTATAAAATACACAAAACAAAAAAGGAAATGTAATTAAAAGAATCTACTCTATGCATAAACGAAACCTAAATCATAGCAAAATCTACTTACTACAACTCTATATCTATCTAACACCCCTCTAACCCTAACCCACAATGAATATCGACCAATCACGTTCTTGCTTGATTTGCGGGACCAGCGTTGCAGTCGGGAAGAAAAGCAATGTGGCAGCTCACCACTTCATAAGGAGTGGAGTGGAGAGTGGAGAGAGGAGAGTGGAGAGTGGAGAGTGGAGAGTGGAGAGAGAGAGAGAGAGAGCACACCTTTATCTATTTAATATAGATAAAGTAAGAAATCATTCCAATGTGTACTATAGGACAGTAAAACAAAACAAAAAACAGTTTAAAAGGGGAGTGATTAGTAAAATATGCATAAATAAAAAGAAAGAATGCTAACTAGGTAAGATAAGAATAAACAAGTTTAAATTATTTGTTATCGTTTGTGATCATATTCTAAAGATGTTTGGATCATTGAAAAGCATACAGCTCTCTTTCATATGAGTGTTGAGAGCTGTATCCATAAATTCAGTTTGTGCTCAAAGTGCAGCAGATTGATGCATTTCACTTCAACATTTTAAAAAACATCTTCCCGGGGTGCATGCCCCCGGACCCCCCGAGAGGATGTGAGGTCCACCCCCAAATAAAGCAGGTTAAAATAATTAAATTGCATACATTTTCTTTTAGTAAACACTGAAAACGGGTCCCACAGACCCAAACAGCACACAAAGGTTAAAGGTCAGCATAGAATAATGTTAAAATGTGCTAAATATATAAACTGCAAAAAACAAAAAAAGAGGAGTAAAAGTAGCCCCCGACTTGTTTTATTTTTTGAAAGTAGCTCTCATCCTAAAAAAGGTTGGTGACCCCTATAGGAAATCTCCCAAATCTTCTTAAACCACTCCTCCTGCAGAACCTGTATTCTGTAAGGAGGAGTACAGGTTTTACTATCCTTTATTTTACTCAGATGAAGAATTCAGAAGATTTATATATTTTAGTTTGTAGTCGTTGTTATTGATTACCTATGGATCCCTGTACTATTAAGCATAAGGCCAAGAAAACTATTTTCCTCCAATCATTTTGTTATACAGGTTTGTTATAATACATTTAGATTTTACCACTTATATGTTGTTTATAGATGTATAACTTTTTAGGGCTAGTGCTATTTCTTTGATGACATACTTTGGTGCAATGTCATGTAATGTGCTGATATAAACGCAGATTGGTTACAACAAAATAACCAACTAAGCAAATTAATTGAGGCTTATTTTCATGGAGGATATCTTGGGTCAAGGCTGTGAACAGAAAAAGACGTGAAGGAAGGTTTGTCAAGGAATAGGGTAGGAACTTGTCTGACGACCAAAGCCTCAAATGCCTCAAAGCTTGAAAGTTTAAAATACAAGATTTAATAAAACATAAGAAGCTCATGAGAAGACTATCAAAAGGCCAGCAAATGTTTTTTATTACAGCATCCAAAAAAGCCAGTTTGTGCTCTGGGTTACACACAGCTAGTTTTCCAGCACTAAGCGATGACTTTTCAGTGACATTTTACTTGAAGTTGATGTTTTGTTGACTCAAGTGTTGTTTGTTCAGCATTGCAAAGTGTTAAATCTAATGCTAAGAGCTTACAATGGGGCACGATGCTGATCTTTTCACTTCTCTTTGGTTATTTGGCTGCTGCTGTTGATTTTAAAATGTTCCTGCTGCCACCAATTTCGACAAACAAAATACAATAGTAGCATATTAAGTCAAATGAGCATCACGAGTGGGTTTTGTTTATGTGAGTTACAACTCAGTAAAAAGATTAAGAAAACAATTTCCATGGATATTGTCATACTGTACCGCAGTTTCAAAAGGTAATAAAGTGTTTTTCATTTTTAAAACAATGTCTTTCCGTATGTATTTAAAATAACTGCTGTAATGCCATTTTCCCTCAATTTACGTGAATAATCTGCAGACTGTCCTGCACAAAGTCCAGGCATTGGCTATTGGTAAATCTATAGAGAGACTTTAAGTTTCTGCCATTGTTTCCTCACACAATATTCAAGGTTCAAGGTTCTTTATTGTCAAACTAATATAGCTACTGAGTAATTATGTCGTTGAAAATCTTATTCACAGGCTTCTCCAACAATGCAACACAATAATACAGATAAGCAGACAATATTAAAGCAATATTAAAGTATATTATATTCAAAGTAATACAAAAAGAAAAATAGTTCTAAAAAAAGTGAGAAAGTGGAATAGTGCAATATGAGTCTACAAGTTATTGGAATGATATATTAGATAATAGATAGATAATTACTAAGTAGCAGATGAATGTTATGAAATTGTTTTAGCAGTTCAGTTGTTTAACAGTCTTATTTGAAGACATACTACACATGCTGGTATTTTATGTCCCTTTTAGGTCCTGGCGTTTTCCAAGTCTCTTGTTATTCCTTTATCCAAGACCAACATTTGAGGAACAACTTTGCCAGACAACTAGGAAGCATCTGCATCTGCTTGTAGCTTCAAAACATACTTTTTTCAGGGTAGTTTAACTATAAACGGTTCCTTTCCTAAATGTAAACTATCACTTTGATAAAACAGATTTAGACAAAAGTGGAACCTTTTTATTTTAATTTTATATACACTCCTGGATTATCATTTGTATTGCATTAATGTTGCAGTTGGAAAAGGGAGATCTAATTTTAATAAAAATTAAAAAAAGTAAAACGTCAAATAATAACCTCTAAAATGTAGTGGAGTAGAAGAAGGGAAATGCTCGGAGTATTATCTTAAAACTGTAAATGTAAAAGGTACATAGTGGTTGTTTAATATGTATTTTCTTGCATGCTGGTTCCCACTATTATTGTAATTTACTCTCAGCAAGAGATGTTGTGGCTTGAACATACAGTGGTTGCACTGTGGTCACCTGAGTGCGTAATTACGCAAACGTGCCCAAACAGATGTTGGGAATGTGTCCGCATGATCGGTAGTTAGTGGAACAATAACACATTATTTAAATCAGTGATTAAGTAGGTGAAGAGCTAACTTGATATGCTAACTGACCAGGGGCCCAGCCTGTGTCGTCACAGCCTACCTGACTCCCGAAGACTCCGATGGAGCAGGCGGTGGACACTTCCTCTGAGCCGAACCACACTGAGGCGATCCTGGACGGCATACCGAGGATGAACACCTGCGCAAACGAGCAGCAGAACTGTCCCAGAAAGGTGACGGCGAACAGGTTGGGTTTGACGCTGGCCACTTTGATCCATGTGCCTGCACAGTTAAGCGCGGTGGCCACCAGCGCGATGACCCGGAGCCCCTTTTTGTCCAGCAGCCAGGTAACCGGGAAGATGAAGGGAATGTATGTCAGCATGTAGATCATGGACATCCAGTCTATGGTAAAGGCTTCCACGCTGTAGAACTTCATAAATATGTTGTTGATGATGCCGTACTGTATCCATTGGAAAGAGTTGCATAGTGAATATGAGCTGAACAGGAGAACGATCATCCAGCGTCGTTTGTACAGCCGGGTGGGCTGCACGGCTCCATGTCCGTCCAGCTGACCCGGGTCTTCGGCGTTCAGCACCGCGTCACCCCCCTCCAGTTTGACAAGGTCTGCCTTGGTCTCATCCTCGTTTTGTTCGGTGTCTCCTATCGCTTGTTTCTCAATCATATTAAACTAGTCTGCTAAATATACTCATGGAGTATAACGTTGGCAGTCAACACTGTGGTTTCAATCACTGTAAACTAAGCTGAAAGTGGCTGATTTCGCCCTGTTTCATGGGCAAACACCAAGCACTTGTCGCTCTGTGAACGACAGATAGGTATATCACTTTATATTTTCACTTAAAAAAGTCTTAGTCATAGGTTTAAAATCTCCAAACTGGTCAATAATCGGATGGTGTAGGCTCTAGAACTCGAGTTTGAGCGGCATTTCCTCCCCCGGGATTGAAGTTAGTTCAGTAGTCGAGTTTACGCTTAATTCCCTGCACGCGTTCAATACATTAGAGTTACAGATACTTTCAATGAATGAATATTGTTCTTTCAGTAAGAGGTTTACCGTGGTGTCACACGTGTAGAAGCGCTTGCTGTGACCCTCTACCCGGACTTAAACCCCCTCGCGATCTTGTAACCACTCGGTCAACACAGACACAAGGGCGGAGTTTAAAAACGACTCGTAGTGGTGCAGCCTTTTACACTGAAATCTCACATACAGTTTGCAACGGTCATGTCAGCTGCTTAGTCTGTAAAATCATGCCTGTCTGGGAGTTTGTAAAACATGCCCATTATGACACTTTTTAAAGGGCTTTTAAGTTTAAAAACACTATAGCTATCAGGTTTTAATGTAGTCCACTTTCCTTGTAACAATACTCATAAAAGGGGGAATAGTTTGAAACTCTTAGTTGTGTTCAAGGACAAAACTTAATTCATACCCACACAGGGCAGGTTATAAAAGGTACTTTTGTGCTGTATATCATGAGTTATCTACTGGTGAACACTGCCACCTAGAGAAACAACACATTTTGGTTTGGTCACGAGTTGTATTATTATCAGCACCAGTGCAGACTTCACACACCCTGCTGTTTCAAATAAGAAAAACACTACATGAAGTCAATAAAAACAACCCTGTAGAGGTCAGAATTGTTCACCTAAAAGGTATCACATTTAATAAATATATTTTGCTGGGTCTTCTCCCACATCAGCATTATCAGCAATACACATGTCGAGACCCTTAGAATGCCCATTCTTCACTACCAGACAATTTCTTTTGGTACATCAGAGCCTTTTTTTTAGGATCTCGACTTTACATTCTCTTTGTCCACAATCAAATCTGTCAAAATCTCCTGAGCATTAACAATCTACATTTACACACATTATAAAAACACGAGAAACTCAAAACATGACAGGATGACACAAAACATTTACAAAAATACTGTGTCTTCTGAGTCACCTGAGCATACAGTAGGAACTCCCAATGTAAACATATACTGGTTGATAATTCTACACATCGAGCCGTTTCAGTTAACACACAGATCACTGATATTTATCAGGTTTAAGCAAAGAGATGAGCACAAGCAAAATAAATATTTTTGAACACGGCTTGTCACAGTTTGGGATCCGCACTGTCATTGTTTGTCCGACATAAATATGGCCTGCCATGTTAATGTTCATGTTTTGAACAATGAATAACACTTAAAGACACTTCTCCAGTCAGTCTCTCTCTCCATTGAGGTCAGTCTTCTGTTGGCAGCACGTCCTCCGTCAGGTCAGTGCTGGTAGTGTGGTACAGTGATGTGCTGGTGGTGGTAGCTGCTGTGGTGAGGAGGGTAGAGGAGCTCGGGGGTCTGAGGGGCCAGGCCGGTGCACAGGGGCTCATGGCTGCTCAGCACTGAGGACAGATACTTGGCCTCCTCCGTCAGCTGCTTCACCTCCTTCTTCAGGGCGGCGTTCTCCTTCTGCAGGTTCTCACTCTCCTGTAAACACACAGGTACAGTATGTTTGAGGAGAAACAATTATAACAGATATATGTGGTTTTAATAAGTGGTTTGAACAAGTCAGATAGGATGACCTAAAAGCATCATCTGCTGCATTACTTCCTGTTTCAACACAATTATTTCTGTCTGTTTTGGCTTTAACCACACATTAAAGTATATTTTACCTAGATAAGCAAGTTTGAACCTAATAAACACAATGCCAGGTAAGTATTAGCATCTTAGCATACTAGCCAAGATGCTAATACTTGTATTAGCTTGTATTAGCATGTAAGCAGGCTGGCTTTTGGCCTTAACCAAATGGCGGCCTCACAGAGCGGCTAGCATGCCTGTGGTTGCGATTCCCTTGTTATTGCAGTATAACTCGTAGAAAACTGTAAACCTAGACATTATGTGTACTGTTTTTTTTCAAGTGAAAGAATATTTTATTGTTTGTCCTAGTGAAGAAAAGTTATTGTAGGGAAAATGTATTAAAAAAATGTGTAACTCTAAAGGTAAAGTTAGCAGTATAGGCTAAAATGTCATTTTAAATTGTCTGAGACATGCCCAAACAATGGCATACATTACATATTGTACTTTAAAGTAATACAAGTATTTTCATAGTGGGAGAAAAACTAAATGTTATCCTGTTTAACCTGTTTTTTTTCTATACTTCAATGAATGAAAACCATTTCAATAATGCAGGCCTTAGCTTCTTTACCATAAAGTATTAAAAGAAAGTTGTAAAAGTGGATTGACCTTCAAAAACGTATGAATACCTATTCATTTAAACACTTTGTTAACTGTCTGCCGCTCACTAAGCACCACCATCTTATCTCAGTCTGAAATGTGTATTACCAAAACAAGCTTTCTGTCTGATCATCATCTTCAAAGAGCAAATAAGTAGAACAAACTATACGCGAGCAATTGAAAAAAAAAAACATTTTGTGCGTGGGAATAGCAGGGGAGAAAATCTTCCACTTGGTAAATTAAAAGGTCATCACACCATGGCCGAAAGATGATAATACAGAGCTGTGGGTCCTTACGGTCACAGCACCTTTGGGCAAACCCCTGTTCTTTCGTCACTTAGCCAAATACAGCCCACTGCTGTCAGCGCTTTACAAGAAGTGACTGCCTTTTTCTCCCCTCCTGCCCACGACACACGATTTACACAGAAGAAAAAAATACTACTGAAGAAACAGGAAATAAGCCACGGTGTCATAGAGAAGGAAAATGTGTCTTCCTGTTTACCAGTGAGACGATGAGAGAGAAACCACAGAATATACTCTGTGGTCCCCCTGTGTTCTCTCTGTGACACACTTTAAAGAGATTGATGATATACTTCAGGGGAAGGTTTCTCATACATTTAAATCGCTGGATCTACTACTGCCTACAGTTTTGGGTTTTCTGAAGGTTAAAAGCTTTCTGATGAAGTTCACATAAAAAGTTGCTTCTAAAACATCATGGTTACCGAGCACAGAACAGCACAAATGACCTTGACTTGAACGAGGAAGTCACACAGATAGTGGATATGGGTTAAGCATGGTGAAATGTGTGCAGTTGTAAGATGTGATAACATAACACGTAGGTTGTAAAAGATCCATGAGATAGTTGCATCATTAGTGGAGGAGTAATATGTGTCACACAAGTATCTGAAGATTGAAATCTAGATGAGAAATAAGTCTTTTGGACGTTTTAGTTGAAAAAAACACTAAACCCCATACATTCTGCCAGAAATCGTGCCATTAACAGCTGACACTAACTACCAAGAACCACACACAATGAGCTTCATCAAAGGATAATGGGGGCAACAAACAAAGCACACCCTTCTGTCATCTTATTCAGCGCTGTAATGTGATCTCTGCTGCCTGATTCTGTCAGTGATTGCCCACACGTGCTAATTTATTCCTTAAGCTTCTGCAAATACACAGTACAGTGTCCAAGTGTGCAGCCCAACAGAAGCCATGACACATCGCCACATGGTCAGGTAGCGATTCGTAAATATAGTACAAGCGCTGTTGGAAGAGCCCTCATGCTGCACAAACATAAAATATTCCTGAAGGATACCCTAACTGAAGCTGTATCTGCTAAATATCGTTCAGGGTGTTTAATCTATTAATCTAGCTACTACAATATGATGGCTTTTGGGCTATAAAGTAACCTTATGTATCCATCTTTGCTGTGTAGAACTTTATCAAGATTCAGTCAATTGACAGTAACACCATGTGCTGTTTTCTCAGTTTCTTTTTGTGTCTCTGAGAAATGTCTTTAGAAGTAGGAGTCAGTGCTAAATTGCGTTGTTTCAGAGTGTTGAGTATAAAGCATCTCCTCACCAAGTGCAGGTTGTCAGCTTTCTGAGTTTGCCTCATCCTGCTCTTCTGAGCAGCGATCCGGTTCTTCTCTCTCCGCATCACTTTCTTCACATCATCTGAAGAACTCTGACCAAATACAAAATGTGAATGCGTTAATGTGTGGGCAACAGCATAAACCTGAGAAAGTGAAGACGTGCAGGACTCTCGCTGGTGGGTTAAAGCAGGAAATGTCGACAGTTTTAAATGACAGTTTGACAGAAGATGGGTTAGACTTTACACCTAAAGTGAAGGGCAGGGTCGGGGAGTGGCTGAGTCTTCGGTTGAGTATAACACACACCCTGTTTCGTATCCCTAACACTCGATTTTCTTAGTATCGTAATAACTAATCAATTTCAAAACGCTGAGTCAGTTGCACATCAAAGAGATAACTTTCATTGTTTAACGTCTACTGGAAAGTCAGTTACTCAAAATGCTTAAAACCCCACAACAACTGCTTGATTTATCAACATAAAGTGGGCCCCAGTTTATATAAAAACAGCCTTTGAATGATTTATTTCCAGAGTGCTTTTGAGCAAGAAAACAGACATTAATGTGAAAGAGACTGGCCCATGTGAAACAAGTGTCAGGTGCAGAGAAGCACACACTGTATTTAACACGCTGTCTGTTCCTGAGAGCTGTCCCATCATTCACAGTTTGAGAGACTTGCTAAAACAAAGGATTCCCACGACTTGTTCCAGTGATACATTTTGCGATTCACAAAAGCCTACACTTGAAGCGAGTCATGCCTGCAGCCCATGTGTGCCTGTGAAACACTTCTGGGAAACTGTGAAAAGAGCCTTAAAAGACAGAACAAGTATCTCCTTGATAGGCTGTGTTGCTGCTCACTAAATATTCATCCACTCACAGATTTAGGGGGAAATATAGTGTTGAATTCACAGGATTAGTTTTAAATCTATACATCTCAAGTGTTAATTTGATATAAACAAGTATTAGAAAGTATAAAGAGCACACTTACCGGCCTGCTTCCAGGTGATGGGGACTTGTAACTTGTGTCATTGCTGTCAGAGCCCTGAGCCATAGCCAACCGCGGCGCCTGAAAGCGTGTCTTCGTGTCCACTTCTGCTTTATGTTTAACAGCGAGTGTGTGTGGTGTGTGTGAGAGAGAGAAAGAAAGAGAGAGAGAGTCTGTGTTGCAGAACGAGTGCTGAGAACAACTTGGTTTAATGAGTCTTTTTCTTCCCTCTTTTCTTTCCCTTTCTGTCACTCCTCCTTCTCTTTCACTCTCTCGCTAGCACCATCTTCCTTTATCTCTCTCTCACTCTCCCCCCCTTTCTCTCTTTCTCTCTCTCTCTCTCTCTCTCTGACACACTTATACACCGAGAGGTTAGCTGTCTACCTAATTAGCTGCATCTGATGTGGCTTCTGGTAAGAATCTGGGTAAGTTGCATTAGACTGGAAATCACATGTCTGATGGTAAGTTAAAGCACACATGGTAATGTTGTACAGTCCAGAAAAATAACATATTGGGGGCTTTAAGCTACAGACTGAATAAATATGAGTCGATATATTACCAGTTTCTGAAAGAAAAATGAGTTAGCCGACTACATGTTAAAAAAATGACTACCTACCTACCTGTTTACATGTATAAAGAAATGTCATGGACAAAATAATAATGTATGTTTGTTAGCAGCATAATAAAAAAATTATCTCTTAAAATACAAGATAATAACTTTAGCCCTACAATATATTATTCAAATATAGCATGATAGGTCCACTTTAAATAAAACGAGGCCACGCTTTATTAATTTGTGCGCACGATACACTTTCTCGTTCGCACGACATACTTTCTCGTTGGCACGAGATACTTTCTTATGGTAAAACACATCGAACTGCCCGATTATTACGCCATATGATTAGTTTTATGAAGAATATGTCCGGTCGCCAGGGCGTGTGTGTGTGTGTGTGGGTGGGTGTAGGGGCGTATGTATAATTGCAAATGTGTTAGACCGACATCTTGGGCATTCCCTCTTCCTCATTTTTTAGTAACTGCTTAGAATACGTTTCGACCAAACCCTCCAGAGACAGCACATCCTAAAACCCCACATGGATGACTGAGTTGTGAATTATGTACACATGCTTTATGGTAATTTCCAAAAGTGTACCGCGCTTTTTTGATAGTCAGCTGCAATGAGGTGAGGCTTTGTGCAGGGCTTGGGGGTCCCCAAAACCCCACATCGAATTCCCTCATTGTCTCTTACTCTAAATGACTAAAACATAAAGTGTGGGGAGTGTTCCAGAAAATGTACAGTTTCAGGGGGTTAAATATTCACAGAATGTACAAAGCATGGCGGTATGACACAGCATTTTAAACGCCTAACAAAATTGGCGGTTGAAAGTGGACTGTGGAGTCGCATATGATAATTATTGTATTATTTTCTTGTTTACCCCCATCACGAGGCAGCATTTGGTGATACAAGAACAAGATTTTCTTGTGATAAAAAAAAAAACGATCAGGACCAAAACAGCTTTGCTTGGCAGAACAGCCCTCCCACACAAAAACATGTTCCACCATCACAGGAATTTTGAAGAGCTTGGGCAAGGCCAGACATTTCTAATACTTGGCATTTAACGCTGTCCACAAGAGTTGAGACTGTTAAAAAGAAAAGGAAGAGGAGGGAGATGATTAGTGAAAATCTGCTTTATCAAGGGCACAAACCAAATAAATAGAGATACAAAAACAAGTTACGGATTTAACTTAGTGTGACTGAAGTTGATTTCTAAGCCTTAATGCCCTTAAGGTGCAAGGGATTTTATCGCAGATGCTCCTCAGAAACTGCATTTTCTAATTTAAAGTCTTTGAAATGTTCATAATTTAAAATGTGTACACATGTTGTTTTGTAATCTTTATTCAGTTACCTATTTGTAAGCTTTTCCATGTGGAGATTACTTAAACAAAGACAACTTGTGCTCATTCAAGCTCTTAGAAGCAGGAAGACCTAACAACAACAAAAAAACCATATCAAACAGAGTTCAAGAGTGAAGTTTAGTACAAGTTACAGCTGGTTAGTAGTTTAAATTATTATTTGCAACTACTGTCAACATTAGTCTCTCTCTTCAGGTCTCTCTCACTTGGAAAACCCCCTAAAGGGCACTTTATTTAGATTACAAAGTGAGATACCCTCATTTGTGGTCTCTCTTCCTAGGAAATGTCTGTGGGAGGTTTCTAATAAGCAACGAATAATTGAGGGGAAAGTGAAGAATTGCGTAGACGCTGATGACCGTAAAAATAACACTGATACCGTGTTGAGAGTTTAATAACCGAACACAGTATTCACTTGAAAACAAAGGCCATTTATGAGTCATTGTAGTGTGCAAGTGCAAGTGTGAAGTCCATTCTGTAAAAAGCAGACTCTTTTTGTTGTTGATGCCCATTCTTGATTAAGTCAGAATTTGCAAGCTATAATCATGAGGTTTTTAAAATAATATAATTATTCATATTAAAATAATTACAATTTTTTTTATAGTGTTTTGGTTGACCACAAATGTCTCCTGTTTGACATTTACCAAAATAATATGGCCCTGTGTTAATGTGGAAAACAACCTGGGGGTACATTTCCACTCTTACATAATACTTAGCTCAAGAAATCCACTCAAGGTTGTTTTTTCTTTAAAGATAGTTAAGAAAGGAACATTTCTGACTTTTAAGCCACTCAAGATATTCCCAAATGTTGTATTGTTCGCATGTTGAATCAGTTTCAGGCAACACAACCACATCAACTAAGAACATCTCTGAATCTTTGGTCCACACATGATACATTTTATAATCTCTAATAGCTTTACAACTCTGAATCACTTTGGCAATACACATCCTTAAGTAATTAATCAAGATTATTTTACTCATTCTGATTATGAATAATCATATTTATATTCCAAGCAATGCAGCAGTGAGTAAAAAAACATTGTTTCAGTATTAAGGTTTAAACATTTGAATAAGTGATCAAATACAAATGAAGTGGAAAGCAAGGGCAATTTTTTGTGGTTGACCTTTATCATAAAAAATGCAGGCCTATTTACATAAACAACCTCCAACTGAATATCTACATCAATGGCACTTGAACTACCTTCACAGTTTTTTCAGGGGTGTTTTTTCAGGTCCCATCATATGCTTTTCTGGTTATTACCCGTCCCCTTGTGTGTTATATAACTTTTTCTGCATGTAAATGGTCTGCAAAGTCACAAACCCTCAAAGTACACCCTGTAGCGAGTAAAACTTTAACACAGAAAAGACGTGTCTATGCTGCCCCAGAACGCCTCGTTGTAGATCTTTTTCCATTTTTTTCTTCCGGGGCCTATTGACGTCACTAAGTCTGGACCAATTGGCACACAGCTATAGAACAATAGGCACACCCTCTGCCAGGGTGGACTCCCGAGCAGCTCAGGAGTCCACCCAGCGAGGCTCCTGGAGCGGACAGTGTGAGGTGGATTTCCCGCTGTGTTTCCCTGGATGCTGGATATAGACTAAGTGCCATGTTAGCGGGACATTACGGAGCTCAGGAGTCCGCCCTGCGAGGCCCCCGGAGCGGACTGTGTGAGGTGGATTTCCCGCTGTGTTTCCCTGGATGCTGGATATAGACCGCACGCAGACCCCACGCAGCAACCAGGAAACGAGACCAGTAATCCACCTCACACTGTCCAGCGAGCCCCACAACGTCCCGCCAACACGGCACCCAGACCCCACGCAGTATTCTCATTTGTTTGTCATTACTGGTGTCATTTCCTGGTTGCTAACAAACGCCATTGTAACACATAAACACTGATGTTCAGCTGTAATGGTAGTTGACTAATCAGAACAGAGTGGGCAAGCTGACCAATCAGAGCACAGTGGGCTCATAGGGAGCTCCAACAAGGCGTGTAGGACAGAGTGAATACGCATACTATACAGAGATGCTGTATGAGAAAACCAATGTGATTTTGGAACATTGAACAATGTAAATCTATTCTAGTAGACCTCAACAATGGAATTATGATCAGTAGAAATGGCCAAAACATGGGACCTTTAAAGCATGAAAACATGTTCTAGTAGAAAAAACTCAAAAGAACAACACAAACCTTTGAAGTGCTCAAATTGAGGCTATTCAGGTTTCATCACCTTAAAGGTGGGGTAGGTAATTTACTTCAGAAACACTTTTTGTTATATTCCATGGAATGCTCTCAACATCCCGATAGCAATGAATAAATTAAATGCTTTGACAATAAATATATACAAATATGTCATCTGTGGAAGCTGTGGCACTGTAAAAAGCAAGTCCAATTATCTGCCTCGGCCCGCTCACCTTTTTCTTCAGTTTGGAAGAGGCCTGATTCATTGGTAGGGGTTTTTGTAGTATGGGACAGGACTGCTGAGCATCAGTAAAATACTTATGTGTAACAGGCAGGGGAAATATTTTAGTATCCTAGGACCAGCAGGCTAAAAGTGTTTCTATTGCTTACATTGCGAAAAGAAGGAAGAAGGAACCCGAAACATATAGATATACATATATATATATATATATATATATATAGACATAAGTTAGCTAATGTTAGGCGAGCACACGTTGCCTGTGTAACTGAGGACTGAGCTTACAGGTAGTACTTTGAACCACTCAGGAACTACAGCTAACTTTCTATGTGAAAAATTGGGTGACATTTATCGCCATTTATTTTCTCTCATGTTTCCTCACTCTGCTACCAAATACCTTTCGCACCTGTTTTTTTTGGTAGGACCGAACCATTTCATGTAAATAGAGGGGGTGGTTGGGCAATATGAACTATCTGGCTGTTTACTTTATGCCAAAACAAGAAAAAAAAACTTTAAATTAAAATAAGTAAGGCTGATAATATGTTTCGATATATTTCTCCTTCATTAAAAGCTGTTGTATTGTTTTTTTTTTTAAATCGGTCCCCCCTGCTGGTACCCATAGCCTGGACATAAGTTTAATTTTTTTAATGGTGCTTTTTAAATGTAAACCACAGACTATAGTCGTTACAGTGCCACATTTCACTATAATAAACCACCAATATGTAAGCAATGATAAAGTCTTAAGTATGTCCTGCTGCAGCATATTTGAATTTACAGTTTTACTATGAGACTCTTATTAGTTTATATTCAGTGTTGTTGATGTAGTTTCAGGTTTCCTCCAGGTGGAGGCAGTGTAGGACACGCAGATCAGCAGCTTCGTGAGTGTTTTTCATGAGAACAAGAAGA